TGATGTTTGGTTTTGTTTTTACCAGTTCTACTACTAATCGGATGATTAAATTTTTAATTATAAAAAAAAATTCGAAATTAGTAATCTGTAATTATTTATTTGAAAATAAACGATGGCATAACAAAGAAAATGAAAAAAAAAACGCGTTAACTCTCTGTCTCGCTCACTTTAAACTGTTAAAAGATGAGAATTATGTTAGAAAATCTCTCAAAAAATTTCCCTCTCATCATTGTTTCTTGTTAAGTGTATATATATATATATATATATATATATATATATATATATATGCGTGAATGTGAAATGCTTTCTACTTGAACGATGAAGTAGGATGTACACATGTATTCAGTATGTCTTATTCGGTGTTTAGGCCATCATCATCACAACAATAATAACAGATGGTAAAGTGACAACTTAAAAAAAGAAAATTATTTTCGAAAGTAACTCGTATCATAAATCAATTAACAAGTGTTTTTGTTGAAATGATGAAATTTTTCAACAGTATGCTTTCATGAAGAATTTTGAGGAAAAAAATGTGGGTGTAAGGTACATTGTGTTGATAATTAACTAATTGTGATTTAAGAACTTAATATACGTTTCGGAATGTGAATAAAGTTTTTGATTCAGTCTTGAAAACGAATAAAGATGTTTATTATGGTAGCGTTACAGAATAAAATGGTTAGTACAATATGGGATTCATAACAAGTCCATTTAGATATCAAATATATATATGTACATAAATGTTTAAGTGATGGAGGTGGGGTCCAGTTAGTTCACATTCAGGCAGACGTACAATATATAGAAACTATCCCACTTTAGGTTATTCGATACATGGTGGCCATTTCACTTGATGTAACTTATAAGCCTTACATCATTTTCCTAGCTTTAATAAACGCAGGTACCGTAAGCAATGAGGACAGTGCTATTCCATCAGATGGAGATATGTAAGGCATTCGGAACCTTATGCCACCAACATATAGTTCCCTTTTTCATTTTGTCTTTATGTTTTACATGCTTACTTACTTATGCCTGTTGCCCTAATGGAGCACAGGCCACCGACCTACTCTGTTTTGGGCCTCCCTTTCCTGTTCCGTCCAATTTTTGTTCATTCTTCTCATGTCTGTCTCTATTTCTTGGCGTAATGTGCTCCTTGGCCTTCCTATTTTCCTTTGACCTTGAGGGTTCCAAGTGAAGGTGTCAAAAACAAATAAGTTTTTACACATTTGAAATCATCAATCAATAAATGTTAGACTACCATTAGAAACCTGGAAGCACTGGACGGTCGTTTCGTCCTGGTATGGGACTCTTCAGCAGTGCGCATTCACGACTCCGTGAGGAAATTCTCGGAGTTCTAATGAGAAGACGTGACCAAAGGGGTTCAATCCTGTCGAATGTATGCAGTAACTACCAAAGATAAATGGGTGAGGTCGCGCAAAATCCCTAGATCAATCAGAGTTAGACACTAACACCGTTGGATGCCGGCCCAGAGGTGCAATGGCTAGGCGTTCGCGCACAATACCGATTGATTGATGATTCAAATGTTTACAAACACTAATCTCTATAACTCTAATTGAAAATAAATCTTTCTTTACGTTAGCCCTTATAACTTATTTTCTTTATAGAATTTATGCTAGGTGCGGTACTACAGAGCTTTTAAATTGCTTGCTTCCATGAAATAAGCCTAATGTGCCTGCTTTACCTGCTCTCAGAAAATTTGCAAATGAACAAATATGAGTAGAGTAAATGACTTATTTTTGAAGAAATAGTTTTTGAAAATAAGCTTTTCTGTAGTTGTCTGCAAGACTTCAAGTTCTTAATTACATCAAAAAACCTCACTTCCTGATCCCTTAAATATCTCGTGATTGCATTTGTGAACTCTTTACTTTAAAATTTGCCTTCCAACTAATGTTAAGAATATCTGGCATATGGTTTTCTTTCATTCTTTCTTATGTACTTGCTTCCACAAGTACATGTGATTCAAAAATTACATTTTTTGGTGACCTCAAAAATATATTTATTCATTTTGATTAGTTTAATAAACTTCTCATATTGAAATTAAAAAAAATTTTAGGGCTGTATGGAAGCCTACTGTTGATTCTGCTTTAGTCAACTTATTTACTTTATCACCTCCACTTCGAATACAAGATGAATTGAGATAGATTTTCTGTTTACAATTGTTTTACATTGAAATTATGACTGAACCATTGCTAAATCACCACTGGAAACCTGGAAGCACTGAATTGATCAGAGTTAGACATTAAGATCATTTGATGCTTGCTCACTGGTCTTAAGGTTAAGCGTCCGCTCTCAAGAACAATGGTCCTGGGTTCAAATTCTGGATGCTCACTGCTAATGAGCCCTATACCAGGACATCTAGCGCTTTCAGGTCCCTAATAGGGGGTTCTAAAAGTGATTCATTCATGGTTTAAATGTAAAACAACGATCTCCATAATACTCTAATTACAGCTGTTTGTTTGGGACTTTCCGAAAAACGTTTTCAATGTTTCCTTTAAATTCTTTGAATATTCATTTTTCTAAAACATATTACAGGTAGGTACTATATTTTCGTCGGTTTTTTGATTTGTACACAATCTTCTAGCTCTGTCAGATGGCGCTTTGACTAAACAGTTTTTTTTGAAAACTAACAGGATAAAAATAAATTATAGTTTAATTATTGCCCTGTGCATCGTTCTATTCTCAATATGGTCTTGTCGATTGTTCTATTGTCCCTTTCCCATTTAGATAATTAGATCGATCATGATATTTTGATTCAATCATCAATTTGATATTAAATTGTGCTTCGTTAAACTGTTAATGCAACCATGAAGTTTTGTTATTTATACCTGAATTCTTATTATTTAACAAATATTGTACTTCTCACCATTCTTTAAATCAGAATGTTATATTTTAAGATTGAATGTGTACATTTTAATTATTCGTTATGTTGTGTTGAAACAACATGGAACTAACTTCATTTTTTAACTTGCATGTATAGTTGCTCAATTTGGAAATGTTTATTGTGTAATACAAGTATAATGTTTGTGATTAGATGGATGGTAAAAAAATAAGGCATGAGAACAACGCAATAAATACACAAAGCTACATCAAATTGTGATGGGAAAGAATTGAGTTCTACAAACAAAATATACTGTTTAATATTACAGCATATTTAGTTTTCGATTAGTTCGTCATCAGGCTTTACTCTAATATACATGAATATTCATAAGAAAATGTTAAACCAATCAAGGCAATTTGTGAGTCAATAATCATAATGAAATGAAATAATGGACAAAAGTACAAGTTGATCATAGTAGGAAGACAGGTGAGTACTGATAGTGGTAGTAAGAGAAATGTAAAATACGATAACAAAATTTTTATCAGCAGTAGGTTAAACTTGGGTAAATAGACTTACAATAATCATTACAATACATTAAACCATTACGTATTAAGAAGTGTGTACGTAATTAGATAGTGAAGAATATAAACGGAAAAAGGCAGAAAATTACCAACAAATACAGGATGTGAAAATAATACTAATAATAAGAAAATAAGATTTAAAAATGATTTAAACGTTAGTTAAGTCATATCCAGCCACAGAAGAGGTGGGGGCGTCACAAAATTGGGGTTGGATGTACGAATTCCTATGGCTTCTCTTATGTGTAGGAGACGGGATCGAACCCCGTTGGGAAATGATGCAGGTATACGAGAAAGATCACCCGAAAAGATCTAGACTTATCTAAAATATGACCACTATCTAAGATAGAACTGTGTATTGTTTTTGACTGACCTTTATGTATGTTGTCCTAATTTTCACAATGGGAATCTTTAATATATTTTTTTTGATGTGTGCTGATGATGCAGCCATTAAACTACTATGACTGGAGACCGGAGAAGAAAGGAACCATTGAGAGCTCATCGAAAATAAATATCAACTACATTATAGAACTCTGATTTTTTAAGTTTTATTTACAGTCGTTTACAGTTAGGTTAAGAAGAGATATTTAATTGGAATAGCATTAAAATAAACGTGTTTGATTCACATGTGTTCTCAATTAATGAACAGTTCTTTCAAACCTTCCCACTTTTGCACTTGTTTAGATTTTTGGCCAAAAATATTGTTGCAGTCAATAGCGATGAGCTCTATTAATCACACTATCAGCAGTTTAAATTCACTCGTGAGTGCTACTGCAGCTAGGGATCATTTATTACTGAGCATGCTGTATCTTCATATATTTAGGCGAAAGTTCTGTGCGCTCAGACATACTGAGCTCATATTTTGATAATATTTAAATCAGTACATTATTTTCTTAAAATTAAAAGTGATGCGATTCAAAATTTATTGTTAGGATTAAAGTAAAACAATACAGTCATTTTCGTTTTAGCTTGTGTCTCAAATTTGACATTCTTCCTGGAGAGAAATGTGATTCGTGTTTTCAGTAAAAGAAACGTAGACTATTGAATATAACTTTCGAAATCAATGAAGGGTGTAAAATTGAAATCTACATATGATGAATGAGGCCTCAAAGTAATACGGGAAATAATATTTCTGGTATTAGCGGTTCTAATTGTCGATGAATATAATGTTATTCCAAGCCAACTGATGAGACTCAGAAGATATATGAAGCAGTGGACCCTGTTAAACACTACACATATCGATGAATTCTAAATAATGACCAAATTTCAAATAACACTATTGTTTCGAGAAATCTTAATAAATAATACTAATTTTCATCATCCATTTCTCAATCTGTAAGCCACTATGCGGTGTTGGAAACAGGATTAATGTGTAACTTTTAGTATGGAGAGTTCATTGACGAGTTTTGGAATTCCTAAAAATAATGAATGAAACTGGCTAACTACCCAATCAGGACGATTTATAAACTCTCATGAGTTCTATTTTGAAGAGTGGCATGAGGTATACTGTTTAAAAGTCTTAATTTACGTACTACTTTATGGAAAAAACTGACAGACATTTTTATGTTGATTTGTTTTTTAAATTTTAGGTCCGAGGGTCAGAAAACCGAGAATAAATCGTTCACATGATGAACTTAATTCAAAGCGGCCGCGTACTTCATTCACGGTACCACAACTGAAGCGTCTAAGCCAAGAGTTTGAAAAAAATCGGTAAGCTTTTATTTACCTAGTTTGGAATTTATTTAATTCATTTTTTCTATTGGTAAGGCCTAAATTACTTATAAGAATTTGTAGTAGTTTGGAGAATGTGACGAAAGTTACATTGCAATTCCGGTATTCCTCACAATAAGTTACAAAATACTGTTTTTGAATTTCTAAGTATGAATGATGTACAGGATTTCGATCATTATAATAAAACTGTCATACATTACTGCATAATGTAGTCTCTTTCAAAAATTTTTCGATTATGTAATGTTATTATTTAAAAGATTAAAAGATTCAGTATGTACATTGTAGCGAATAAGGCTACATTATCAACCAGAGATTTTGGGTTTTTGGAAAATGGAGTGAGTTATCCTGGTTGGACAGTGCCTATATATATATTTAAGAACATTTTCATTAGGTGGATCAAAATAATTTAATGATTAGAAGCAACCAAAAATAAGGCTCCTTCTTTACTCCATTGCTTATCTTGCTTTTCAAGTTAACATTTCCCATTTTTAATTATTCCCATCCCTTCCTTTCTTTTTTCTCTATAAAATTCAGATATCTTGATGAGATACGTCGAAAGAAATTAGCTACAGAATTGAATTTAAGAGAATCTCAAGTGAAAATATGGTTCCAAAATAAACGCGCGAAAACTAAGAAGGTAATTCTTATGATTTAAATTTTAAAAAAAACAAAAAAATTCTTGAGAACCGCATGTGATACAGTTTTATTTAACTAACGATTATTCAATGTTCAAGGTAATGTGCATAGCTAACTAAATAAATGAAATTCTGCATTTCTGAAACAGGAAAGTAATTAATTTGATATAAGAATATTTATCAGGAATTGAAGGGATAATTTCATAGTAGTTAGGACTTGAATTTATAAAAGGTTTGACAGTCAAATAATTTTCGCCAGAATCTTGTCTATTGGAATTCAATAAATTTCTCTAACTAATCTCATCTAAAGCAAAATCAGTTTATGTAATAAGTGTCGAAAATATTTGTCCATCGAAGGATTTTTTAGTCATGTGTGAAGACATTTGGGCATGATTTAAAGTATCAGTGTACAAATTCTGGTATGAGAAAAAATACTTGTGTATGCCAGTTTATGATAGCGAAAATTGAATGTGTCAACTGATTCATAGATCTATGGGAAATATATTAGACTGTTGTGCATAAATTTATGTTGATGCGTTCATTAGAAACGACTGCCAAACTGTTGGGGACTTTAGATCCCCAGAACTCGCTTGATAAATGCCTTAATTTTGGATTTATGTTTCCGAGCCTAGGCTGTTGACCTTGACCTTGAGATCGAAAATCTTTGGTTGTGATTGGTTACTGTGTTATTTTAGTGTGCTATTTTTATGACTCCCCGAGGATGTCTCAATGATGTATAAATAAACGCGATTTGTGTGCTTGGTTTCATTGTGCTTTCTGGATGTTTGTAGAATGTACTTTCTACGCTACATCAAGACTTTTCGTTGGTTATTTTTGGTCAACGGATCAGAGTAGCCTACCTGGAGACTGGTTCATTTTCTCGTTCTCGTTTATCGACTTAGTTGAACCTGTAACAGTTTCAAGCATACCTAGTGACGAGCGTAACACAAACATAACAGTTACCTAATCAACTGATTATCTATGGATATTAATGTTGACTACAATCCATTAGTTATAAATCGATATCAGAGTAATAGAGAAGTTTCTAATTTCATTTACCCCTCATTATTTACAATAGCGAATCTGACTTCATTCCATAATGTTCGTTTAATTTATTCAAGTTTTTCTGCTCATATGACACAAAAACTTTCTGAAGGGTTGCTTTACCATAAAGCCCATCTTACAACTTGTTTCTGTTGAGTAAGCTGTTATCATGAATCTGTTTTTAAGTTTTCTGAAGTCTTTAGAATGTTGTGGAGGGGGGGTTAATTTTCAAAGGCTTTTTGCCTTTTTTATCATCATCAAATTGAACTTTCGCGGTGTTTCACCTATAAAAGAGGAGGCCTGATGGAACCGAAAGAATGAAAGAGAGAATAACCACTTTGACAGATTTAAGAATGAACCAAAATAATGAAATGAACTAAAAAAGAATATGATAAGCAATATTACTGCCAATAAAACATCTAGTCACATTTCAGAGTTATGCGCGAAAACTCAAAGTCAAAAACAGAGATCCTGACATGAAAGAGGTTATCTTGTTACTAAAATATGTACAAATTTGTAACAAACCCCAACTCATGTGATGTCTAATCCTAACAGAAGCGCTAGTGAATATAGGAAGGAAAATGATTTCCTTGAATAATTATATTGAGTTTGTTTACAACATACGTGTTAGGATATTCATCAAATATGCGAAGAGAATTATTTTTGGAAGTATAGTTCTATTGGTCAATGCCTACTGGTTAATATTATGGTTGTCCTAGCTATCAATGTCAAAGACTTCAATGCTGTTTCCTATTCGACCTAACTGTGAAAATTCACATTATCTGTAACGTCTTATGACCCGGACTCAGATCTCCAGTCCGGGATCCTGATTCTCTTCTGGACTCAGACCTCGTACTTTCTCGATGCTTGTAGAGTACAGGTTCTACTTCATGTCAAGTCTTCTTCTTTTACTCAATCGGAATTTGGAACTCTCGAATTAGAGTAACCTGTCATGTCGCTGGATCCTCGCTTTCGTTTACCGACCAAGGTACACCTGTAATAGTTCAAGCCCATCAAATGACCTGTTTACGTTCATTCGTAACAATACGATAATATAAATATCAACAAACAAGTGTTTTGAAAACGATCAATGATTATCAACCTCAGAAACATAGGTTAAAAACCCAATCTATGAAGATCGTTGAACTTCAATAAACATTTCGTTTACATCCGGATATTGGAAGATTCATCAAGTATGAAATTCATTAGTAAATGGGTTTTAGTTAAAGTGTGATATCTCAGACTTTAAGGCTAATAACTAGCATAGTTTAAATAAACAGAAACATAATTTGATTTTCATAAAGAGTTACCTGATAAATAAAGTAGACTCAGCTTAAATACACAAGTTGTCGACTAGTCAAATGGATAGTAAAAACGAAAAGAAACATTATCTGTAGGTAACCAGTTGGAGGGAATTTGTTTTTACAAATATCTTTGAGATTTATTTAAATAATATTTATATATGAAATTTTAATAAATCTAGGGAAAATCCTGACGTAAAGGACTGTTTTACAACGAAATAAATTCAAAAAATAATCGAATAACAGGAACATTTAAAACGTGATTTTTTCATATTTTTTATCCTTATAAGCACATAAGATTTTAAGATTATGGTTTTTAAAGACGGATAAATCCACTAAGCTTAAGATCGGGAGATTTAAAATTCCCTGAACAAATATATAATTATTTTTAACTTTGAAGAAAAAGTTCATAGAGCGTAGGATGGTTTTCTGTAACGAAAATTTATCTGTATCACTAAAGTGATCGTAACAGTTTATACTTATCCATACACTTTTATCTAAAAAACTATATACTACTTATATTTTTATAAGTATGCTAAAATGTTCACTGAAATCTGTAGTCTTTAGCACTTAGGTTTCGAGTTTCCGAGATTATATGGATGACTTTGATGTATGAGTCTTGACTAATGTTGAAAACAATCTTACCTTTCCTATCCGAATTATTTATATCAATATTGCTGTCTATTTGTTTAGGCATCGGGTGCACAAAATTGCTTAGCATTGCATTTAATGGCTGAAGGACTTTATAATCATTCAGTTCGAGTTCGTTCTGACGTAGAAGAAGATGCAGAAGACAGCGATGATATGAATACCTCTGAGTGAAAATAAAATATTAAACATTCTGGCGAACTTTTATGAAGAGAGTTATTCGGAAAATTTGTATATGTTTCTATCGTTTATGTATTTTCACAATTTTGTTTAAAATCATACGTCATCAGTTATTATTGAATTGAGGACTATTGCCTATACTTATAAGCCTATTGATTTTTTGATTTATTATTTGATTTGATTTTTTTTGAAAAATATATCTGTACTACTATTTAGTCTACTTAAATCGTTATATTATAATTTCATTTATTGTGATTATTCACTATTCAAATTACACGCATAAAATATGATTTCTTTCTGATTTTTGGTAATAATTGCTTTAAATGCATACTTCCTAGGTGAGAATAATTTTTTCTTAAGTTACTGAAGATATCGATGCTGGTGGATTTTAATTCTAGGCTTACTGAAAGGGTTCACCATCAACGTGACTACTGTATTTATTATAGTGGTAACAGTTACTAAAAATTGAAAAGCATGTCCAATGAATACGTGAATTAATTATCATTTATGTTTGATTGCTCCATTCACAATTTGGTAATTTGTCGGTTAAACATGAGTTTATTAATTTGTACATACATATACCATGGTAAATACAATTTAAAATAGATCGATTTGAACAAAGTTTACGATAGGGAAACTCTTAATAACAATAACTGTAACTTTTAATGACGAAACAAGTGTAAGTTACTTTTAATGAGTAGTAGTTAACAGAAGAGTTACAAGATTAGTTGCAGGTTGAGTTTACTTTTTTATTTTCTGTTACATAAATATTCGATTATCATAGGCAAACGAATTTAATTGTTATTTAGATATTTACAATGCATGAAAAACTTTCAAAATCTTAAGTTTTTGATTGGTTGTTAAACTGTCTCAATAATAATTTAGAACTGAGATCAGAGCCTGCACATTTAACTTCTAACGCTCTAAATAAATAATTTCAGTTTACCGTACAGATGCATCGTTCTCATACAGTTTGACCTACTGAATATGACTTGGGTTTAAGTAAAATGTCAAGTTTCATCATATTTGGGACATTTCAGAAAGATTAACCGGCAGCTTAGTGTTACAACTCACGCTACAACTCAACCTCAGAGTCACTTTCTTTAATGGAGTCATAAATAAGGCTGAACACACTTCTTGGATTCTGCAACTAGTCACAATATATCTGTTCTAAGAACGTATGACAAAACGACTACAATAAATTAATTATCAAAAAACTTACATATACAATTAAAGAATAATCAGAATTCAGTTCTAAATATGAACAAAGGAAAAATTCAAACTCCTAAAACTGATAGTATATCTCTCTTTGAAAGAAAATACTTCCAGCGTTTTTAGCGTTTTTCATTTATTATTTAGAACAGCCACTACTTTTCAAATATCATGTCCTATTCATTATCACGTGTAGAATTTACTCTTTGTCCATACTTTGTCGTTTTATTTTGAATATATTTTTCGTGGAAAATCTCACCAGTATTCATGAGGATTGTTTAAAAGAGTATATCACGGACCGATCTTAAATAAACATGTACTGAAAAGCTGTTTTGTCCCAATATGAAATCCAAAACTTCACTGAAGATCAAGTCTAAGACCTTCCGGTCTCTTGACCTGCTATGTTTGCACTAATTAAGATACAATTAGATATCGGTGAACGGAACGTAAACCAGCGACTCAACGGCAGGACAGCTTGTCTATTTTCTGCGACTCAGCTCAACTAACTAGAGCAAGAAGTTCAGGGTCGGGAGGAAGATTGTGTAATCCACAAGCAGACCCGAGCAAACAAATTGACAAGCCTACAATTTTTTAGTTTGAAAAGAGTCCTTGTAAGATTTACAGAATAACACACTATAAGGGAAAATTAACCAATGAGGTTTATGGTCTCTCCAAGTAGGAAACATGAAGTGAAAGTAATAAGAGGCGTTTTTGTACAGAAAATAAAAACAACTCAAAATTTCCAGAAATAAAATAGAAAATTGTGAGGATTACTAAGAGATTTCTCGGGATCTAGCATGCCCGACATGATGATTTCCAGAGTTCTGGTGTGAAGCCATGATCGATTGAGTTTAACCAGACTCCCACCAAAGACATTTGGCCAATGCTGATTATCATCGCAAATCAATTAAACTTAAACATGAGAGCCATTGTGTGTATACCAGTGCAATAGTCAAGAAGTTAAGTACTCATTCTAAGATTAGAAGTATGTTTTTAAATGTGGTCATGGACACACATTGCTAAGGAGTTCCATACTAGGACATAACAACTAGCCAGAGAGTTATTTATTGTTCAATGGATGGTGACGTAAACTAGAAGATTTCAAAATTTAGTAATTTTAGTCATGGAAGAGGTTACTGAATTAGTTCTCAGTTTAATTATAATTATTTATGAAGATCAACTTCGATTAAATGATGACTGGAGAACGCGAAATTAAAAAAATATTTGATTTTAAGTAGAAGTAAAATAGTGCAAAGGATCAGTGAATTCATCGAAAATAATTTTATAATTAATGTTCATGATGTTGTATTGAAATATCCATACTTGACATTTTCTATCTATTCTCCAACCACAAGACAAATCAGTATGGTAAATTGGAATAAGCTATATATGTAGGTAAGTTTTCATTTGGCAACAGTTATACACAGCAAACAATAATAATTTAACGATGTACAGTCTCTACATATATTTGGGTTCACTCATATTTCGTTTGGTTGAGCCTTTCGAATAAACTTATTTAGCCAAGCCACTTGTATAGCAACAACTTATATGTGTAGCATTGGTTTTTACGATTGTCTGGTTTGTATGAGATGGTACGACTGAGTATTGCTTACCGTATACGCGCATATTCATCCTATTCACTTTAATGTTAATCTCTTAAATATCTCGATGACTCGACATTTCCCTATGTATATATACGAACATTTTAATCTTATTAATACATTCACCAATTCACCGACTCACTCGTCAGAGTGCTTGCTCTGCTCTGTGTGATTGTGCTCTTCTGGTCCATTTTGTGGTGTGTCAAAAAATAAACGTATTCAACCCTTCGCGTTTGCCTTCTAATTTATGACCTATTGGGCGCTATTTAGTGACGATTGCATAGACGAGCAAATTACGAAGACTATGAACACTCTGAATATCAACTGTCACGACACTAGTGAACATCACAACAAACAATATGTGTAACACTTGAACTTTGATTTAAAATAATCTTACTGATCATCATATCCACATTCTAGTATCAGATAACAAACTACTGTCGTGACGTTTGAACGAGGTTGAGATTCTGTCTGAGTTTATCATTTCTTAGTAATATGACTATTGCCTGAAATTGAATAGATAAAATCCAGGTCTTACAGGGAGTATATTGCATTGAGAACACTTTTAAAATCTTCAGTTATCTGACAATATAGTATGAAAAGCTGAACAGTGGTAGTCATTTTAAAATTCAGATCTTTTCAAAAACTCCAAAGTTCATTAGGAAGTTTAACTTCAAATGTTAAAGGATTTAATCATGTATGGTAATCGACGTAAAAATATATGCATCGAAAATGATAAAAATGATATCTAAATAGCAGTATTTCGGAGAAGCAAGGGCTGCATTTCTGCAATTAAAAAATATCTGCAACTCCAAACAAATATCAATCAACACAAAAATCAGGATTTTCAATACAATTGTCAAGACACTCGTACTGTATGGAGTGGAAACTTGCAGAACTAACGAAGCCATCATCCAGAAGATACAAGAATTCATGAACAGTTGTCTACGCGAAATACTTCGGATTCGTTGACCAAACACTATCAGCAAAAACTTACTGTGGGAGAGAACAAATCAGATTCCAGTGGAGGAGGAAATCAGGAAGAAGCGGTGTAAGTAAATAGGACACACACTACGAAAAGCACCAAACTGCGTCACAAGACAAGACCTTACGTCGAACTTTGCAGGTCAAAAGAAAAGAGGAAGGCCAAGGAACCCATTACGCCGAGAAATAGAGGAAGACCTGAGGAGAATGAATAAAAACTGGAAAGGACTAGAAAGCGAAGCTCAGGACAGAGTTGGTTGGAGAAAACTGATGGGCGACTAATGCTCCATTGGGGTTAACAGGTGTAAGTAAGTAAGTAAGTAGGTAAATAGCACTAAGTGTATATTTAAATAAACTTATTAGACGGTAAAAATTAGGTAACCAAATGACTGAAATTCTTCTACAGATATTACTTATTTATTATCTAATATTTTTTGTGTGAGCTGTTTATCACTCTGTTTAATTGAATCGTAAAAAGTAGAAAAATTAAAAAATTTTTAACTGCTTCATTAGATGATTGTTACTTGTGTGTTCCCATGTGTTGAATTTCCAAGAGTTGTTCAATATGAAATATATACTTCTCAATCTTTGTTATATGTATATACTTTGATAAACTATAAGTACACTTACCATTATTATTTCTCCTTCATGTCAATCATAGAGTAGAAAAATTAGTGAAAAAAATCGAAACAAAATACAAAATAACACTCTTTCTGAGTATTTATCGTAAATAGGAAGTGATGTTTAAAACTATCAATTGTAGTTGAAGTATATGAATTTATAAGATTTCATGGTGATATTTTAGCTATCATTTACTTACTTGTTTAAGTTATCATTTATTTTTCAATAGACTGTAATAAAATGAGTTCAGATTTTAATGAAATAAGCTTGTTAACTAGGTTAAATTTATATACAGTCATACGCAAAGAAGAATTAAGAGAAAAAATTAAATATACACTGTAAGGTGATTTTGAAAATAAACCCCGAAATAAGCAGTGAATGAAATTAATTAGTCTTTAATCAACCAATTGGTTCGTTGTTCTATTGACCAAACATGAAGATTTAACTCTTAGTTATTTAATCCTTTGTTATATGAATCAAAGATATATGATTGTTTGTACCCCAATCTAACAGATAACTAGTCAACTTTCTTTATATTTTCATCTCAGTTAAAATAACAAAGAATCAGATATATCT